ACGTGAGAACATGTGCATAAAACAACTAAGAACAAAAAATATAGTAAATGAAACAAGAAAATTAAAATGCTACACTAGAAAATAGCTATTTACTGGTGTAAGAAGCATCCAGTGGGGATGGTGAGGGCCGGGGGAGAAAATAGCTGCTTAACCCAAAAGACAGCAGTGATGGAGGAATAAAGAAAGACAAAAGAAATAAGACACACAGATTATAAGTAGTAAAATGGCAATTGTAAATCTTGCCTTATCAGTAATTACATTAAAGGCTAATGGATTAAACACTAATCAAAAGGCACACACTGGCAGAATGAGTAAGAAAACACAATCCTACTATGTGCTATCTACAAGAGACATACTTTATTTTCAAAGACACAATAAGCTGAAAGTAAAAGAATGGAAAAAAATATTGTACTGTTAAAAAGTATAGTCTAAAGCTACCCCCTTACATACATTAAGTTCAGCCTAAAGGTTTCTCCGTATATAGCGAACTGTAACTCAACTGGATGTGTAGACTGTAACCTATTCTTGTATCAATCACCAAGTTTCAGCCAATCAAAGACAGCCAACTGTTGAAACTGTGTTCAAATAAGGCACACCCAGCTGTAACCAATCCAACTGTTTCTGTACCTCACTTTCGTTTTCTATATATTTTTTTTTTTTTTCTGTTCATAAATTTTCTCCAATTCAGCAGTACAAAGTCACTCTGAACCTATTCTGGCTGGGGGCAAAGGGGATGGAACAGAGGGTCCTGCTCTATTCAGGAATCGTTCTTTACTCAAACTCTGTTATATTACAGTTGCTTAGTCCAAACTTTCTCTCACACCCCATATTCAATCTGTCATAATACCCCAATGCTCTACTAATAACATATATATCCAATACTAGCCATTTCTTCTCACTTATACTGCCACCCTACTATCCAAACTTGCACCAGCTCTAGCTAATGCCTGGACAATTCCATCCTCCTCCTTTCTGGTCTCTCTACCTTATCCCCATTGTCTATTTTCATCCCAAAGGCTAACATCCTTTTGAAGTGTAGATAAGATCACTCTGCTTAAAATCCTCTGGCTTTCCATATCAATGCATATAAGTCAGAACCCTGTCAATGGTTTAGAAGGCCCTACCCAATCTGCCCATACTCACTGTATGTCCTCTCAGACCTCATTTCCTAGGTCACCCCATTACAGACACACCGTCCTCTTTTTCAACCTAAATACAGCAGACGCACATGTCTTTGTCAACAATGTTCTCCTAGCAGATATCCTCATGGATTATTCCCTCACCTCCTTCAATTCTCTCCTCATTATCCTCATGGATTATTCCCTCACCTCCTTCAATTCTCTCCTCATTTTATCAGCTTCTTATTGAAGCCTTTCCTGATCACCCTATTGAATACTGCCACCAGACCCCCATACCTCTCCCAATCCCCTATATATTGCTTTATTAACTTCCTAGGGCTGCTATAACAATGTACCACAAACTGAGTGGCTGATACAACAGAAATGTGTTATCTCATAATTCAGGAGGCTAGAAGTCAAAGATCAAGGTGTCAGCAGGGTTGGTTCCTTAGAAGGGCTGTGAGGGAGAATCCGTTTCAAGTCTCTCTCTCAGCTTCTAGTAGCCTCAGGCAATCCTTGACTTGTAAACACTGTTCTCTAGTATCTTCACATAGTCGTCCCTCTATAAATGCCTGTGTCTAAATTTCCCCTTTTTATAAGGACACCAGTCATATTAGATTAGGGCCTGCCCTAACAATCTCATGCTAACCTGATTATCTCCAAAATAAAGTCTGTGAAAATCTCATATCCAAGTAAGTTCACATTTTGGGGTACTAGGGGTTAAGACTCCCATATTTCTTTTTGAAAGGGGATACAGTTCAACCCATAACAGCTAGTACAACCATAGTGGAAGCTGAGAGGGAGCAAAACTTGGTACAAATGGACAACAGTCAGCACAGGCCCAGCCCATGATAATTGTTTTGTGCCTTCACCCTTTATTCAGGTACTCCTTCCATATTAGGTTCACAGTCTACCCAAATGTTAGGCTTTGCCTCTAGTTTTCAGCTCTGTGCTCATATGTTTAACCTGAAGCTAGAATGTGACTTTTATAGCTCACCCTTTAACTCTTCACAATCGAATCACTTTACCACTATATCACTTAATTCTGGACCCCTGGCAAGCTGCAGTCTCTCTTTTAAACCAGTTGGCTCTTAGCTCAGGTAAGCCAGCACTGGGGACATCATTTTTCTACTATATGAGTTTGAAACAATGCATTCTTATTATCCATACTTAATGATGTAGTCTTGACAATTCTCCTACCTTAATCTCATATACACACCCTTCTTTTCACTCCTATTTTTACTACCACAAATTCAAGTTCATACTACCACTTGTTTGAATCATTAAAATAGTCTCCCAGTTGGCTACCATGCCTCTACAGTATTACTTTCTAATCCAAGAAACCAACTGCTTTGGAGATATTCCAGAAATTCAGCCTGATTGCCTTGTTCTCCCACTTAAAAGAGATGAAACATGCAGGTTCAAATGAACATTTGGTTTGAATTCTAGCTCTGACAACTACTTGTCACAAGACCTTGGGCAAGTTATTTAGCTCCTCTGAGCATTAGTTTTTCTCTAAAATGAATATTGTAATATCTACTACAAACAACAGGAGTAGTTATGAATATATCAGAGAACACATTAAAGATGGTCTGTTACCTTCTAAGGCTGTCCACTGCCTAACAAGTAAGATCTGCACACCCTTACAAGATAATCAAACCCAGTTTTGGACAGTCCAGTCTAATCACCGATGGCTCCCCCTCAGTTCCTATGCAAGACCACTAGAGACTCTTCAATCATACAAGGCATTTAAGACTCTCTTTTCTTGTGTTATCTGCTCAGCCTAAAATACCTTTTCCCAAATCTTCCCCCATCATTTTTCTAACAGTTACTTGAGGCCCAGCTCAAGTATCATATCTTTTAAGAACTGACTAATACAATCTTTTTTTTTCAGCTGAGTTTTACTTGTGCTTCTCTTATACCATTTATTCAGGTTACTTACACACTAGTCTTTCTTTCTTATTAGGGCTGGGACTATGTGTTTTATCCACTATATTACTCGGTACTCTGTACTACAAACAGAAGCATTAAAGAAAAATAATAGTGACACTTAGAATTCTAAGATTAATTTCCAATACTATTTACAAAATTGATCCCAAAAAATTTATGTAGTCACCTACCCTATCTACATGTTTACAATGGAAATTGAATATGTTAAATAAACTGGGACATGTCTAAAGGAAGATATAACTTAAATTATATAATTGAAACAGAAAGAAGAAATAAGACTTTTATGTCTGATTCATGGGGAATAATATGATTTTAATAACAGTTAGTCCTATCAATTCAAAAGGATAAACCTTGTCACTTTATTTCATTTTAAAAGATAATTTTCACAAATTATCAAATAATTAAATTTCAGAAACACTCAAACATAACAAGTGATCATATACATGTTCAAAATGTGGCACCAAGCTACATACCAATAAAATTTTGAAGATATTTTATTAAAAAAAATCATATTTGATCACTTCTGCCAGACTGGAGTATATATGTAATTCTTAAATAGTAAACAGGAGAAGAAATAAATAAGCAAATCATAAACTAAAAAGGAATGATCAAATAGTCGACTCCAGTATTCAAACATAAATTAACATTCTGAGTGAATAAAAAAGACTGCATTATGGCTTTTTTGTCACACATCTATTCTAGAACATATAAGAAGAGAAAAACCATAGAGATGCATGTAGTATACAGATACAAGCAGGGCCACAGTGAAAGAATGGCTACAAAGATGAGAAAGAGAGAGTGGGAAGCACCTGCTTCCAATTTGTCTAATATACACTGTAAATAGTACCTGCTTCCTTGACTGGAAAAGCTCTAAGAGAAAACTGCTCCACTGCATTAGAATGCATGCATATATATGCTTATACTCTCATGTAGCTGTACTGAAAGATATCATATTGGTCTCAAAATTCAGGCAGGGCAAATCTCAGTAACAAGATCACACAATAACCTATCCATGGTAAGGCTCTAAAGATAAGGATAGCTTTGAACATAACTCTAAACATTATTTTAAGTCCTCCCCATGTCCACACAGCATGCATTTCAAACAGGACCAAGTAAAGACTCCAACACTGTCTAGAGAGAAAAGCAGTGGTTTTGCTGTGGGGATATCATCTCTCCAGGTATTGAATCCCTGACCTCTCTCTCAGCGTAATAACTAATTATCTCATATTTTAAAATAATCAATGCATATATATAACAGATTTAAGCTATAAGAAGAGTACAAATATTTTCCATCTATGTGCAGTAAAAAAGATTACTTGCAGGCAAGTTTACTGAGTATCTGTCTCTTTTGGCTTTTTAATTCCCAGGAATGTTTGAGCTGACCATTAAGACTTTGCTACTAAGTTCAATTCTCAATGCTTCGTCTCTTAATGGACTACACAATGGCCCTATTTTATATCATTAACCTCTCTGTGGGCCTGATGAACTAAGGGCTCTCTCCACAGAAATATCTATTTAAAAGTACATATAAATATGAGATTTTTGCCAATGGAGAATTTTTGTCTTAGAAGCTGTCCTAACATCTGAACGTTGCTTACCTTGCTTACTTTCTCCAAAACCCTCTGGAAATCTATTTCCAGAGCCTAAGTTTGTATACTAATTCCTCCCATTTCCACCACTTAGCAGGGTAAAATGCCCTTCCTGCACTATTTCTTTATAATCCTATAATTCTCTTACAAATTAAATGACTGTATGCATTATGCTGTATTATTTTAGTTGATTTCCTATCAACTAGAAGTGTTCACTCTGAACTCCAGCTTCTCTCAATGCACCCTGTTGCATCCTGCCACAAGGCCTTTGCACTTGCTGCTCCCACTGGTATGCCCTTCAGACAGCAACTAAGGCTCACTTCCTAAGGGAAACTTTTCTTACCTGAGCAGAGCAGGTTCTTTTCTGATGCTCTCAGACATCATTATTTTTTTTCTTCCCCTCTGGAATGAGAGCTCCTTAAGGCCAGAAACTGTGTCAGGTCCCTTTCTATATATCCAGCAAGTCCTAGGGCAAAAATGGTATTCATTAAGTATCCATCAATCAAAACCATAGGTTGACAATTACTGAAGCCAGGCAACTGGTACATGCAGAGTAGGGGAGGGAGGGTGTTTCATTCTGTGTGTGTGTGTGTGTGTGTACCTGAAATTTGTTTAACACTGGTGGAAAAACTCTTTGTGAAAAAGAGACTTATAGCTATATATAAGTTATCTTCAATAAGTAAAAGAGTCTATAAACAAACTGAACTTGCTCAGTTTTGCCACTGAGAACTAGTATCAATGAGTAAAATCCAGAATTTTGGCTTCACATAAGAAAGAATTCTCCATTACTTAAAAGTGTCTGGAAATAAAGCTGGTTCCAAAGAAGAAAGGGAGGACTCTGCCACTGGGGTAGTTATACTCAAGCAGTTGGATCATCAGTGGATTCCTAGTTAGGGGATTAAAGGACCAAATGGGAAAAAGGAACTTGAAGAAATCTTCAAATCTTTTGAATATCTGAACACAAAGTTTATTGTCTTAAAATAGATATACAGAAGTCAATATAATGATACACAGAAGTCAATATAAAAATAATTATTGATTTCACAGTTTGTATAAAGCATATATAAAGAATGAAGTTTTTACTTAAAACTAATCTCCTTGAAAGCCTTATCTTGCAGGTGTTCACTCTGCACTCCAGCTTCTCTCAATGTGCCCTGCTGCATCCTGCCACATGGCCTTTGCACATGTTGCTCCCACTGGCACCCACCACCACGCCCGGCTAATTTTTGTATTTTTAGTAGAGACGGGGTTTCACCATGTTAGCCAGGATAGTCTCGATCTCCTGACCTCGTGATCCTCCCACCTCGGCCTCCCAAAGTGCTGGGATTACAGGCGTGAATCAACGCACCTGGCCCAAAGCATTATTTTTATACTTTTTTTATCATGAAAATATAACATATTTTCAGTAACTTTTAGCTACACAATACACAAAATAAATTTATTTCTCAGAACACTTTTAAGATTGTGATAAGCCAAATGATGCTGAAGTCAAACTGTGGGTTATTAAGCTGGAAGAATATATTGTATGGACATGAAGTTTAACAAGGATATTTAGGTAATGAAGAAGTAATGAGAGATTCAGGACAGATGGACAAGCATCAGGTCATATAAACTATTTCCACATGTATGTCTGAAGGAAGATATGAAAATGCCCAAGATAGGAATAATTTGTGTTGCTAAGAAACACTAAGGTTGATGAGTAAACTGTCTCTCTTACAAAGACCAACTAAAATCATGTCATTTATCAATGCAACTCGATTAATAACTATTCACTTTAGAAAACAGATAAAATAAACCAAAAGAAAGGCAAAAATTTTAACACTCAGAAATCACTAATGTATATAATGTATACAGGGACATTTAGTGTAGTATTTTATTGACTTCCATCAAAAGTGTTCATTTAGGACAAAGTTACAAGATTCTACCTTTGGCTTTAAAATTATGACTAAAAAAACACTCTATTAAAGTACAAAAAAAATTCTATTCACAAAAAAAAATCACTTATAGCTAATACACAAAGTATTTCAAATTCCAAAGACATAAATTCTAACAAGGCTAAACAACACTGTTTCAGGACTATTTCATTTTTGTTTCAATTTTGGAAAAATAACCCTGATTTTTTAATCAGAGCCACGCTCCAACACTGTACAATGTTGAAACCCCTCAGGCTCAATCCTATTTCTTATAAACTTTAGCTTTAATTTTGGTCCCAACATGAACTTTCATCCAGACTACACTTTCACCCAGGTCACCATCACCATTATTAGGGCCAACCGTGGACTCGGTCTCTCCTGCACTTCAGAGACAAATGACAAAACAAGAAAAAGGTGAAAAGTCTTCAAAATGAGTATAAACTGCAAAGAATGATTGCTTTATAATGAAATAATTTATATCGGAGAGGTGTGAATTTGGAAAAGACTTAGCTTAGTTTGCCCTACATATGGAAAACTATTATTATTACTGTTTTAGTTTTATAAGTTGATTTCCTCTGATATTAAGGAATAATGTATTATGTGATTTACTAACATTCCAAATCTACAAATTAGAAAATACAAGAGTCAAAAAAATCCTTTACCTTTTCATCATGAAAATCTTCAATTATACCCAACAGTAGGGAGAAAAGTTCAATGAACCACCATTACCCAGCTTCAACAATTATCATTACTCTGTCAATTTTACCTACAAGAAATACATTATTGAATAATGCAAGAGCATACTGAATTGAGATATTCTTTTAAAAGTGTGCCCGCCAGGTTGACCACGCAGAAATGATGGATTTCATGTAAAAACTTTGTTTTTGTCTCTTTCTGGTCTATTAAACCTACTCAAGAATAAACCAACTCCTGGCCTATAGTAAAAATTCATATAATCCTCATAACTTTTCTGGTCCCTCGTAAGTAAGAGAAAATCATATAGTCAATTTAAATGACAGGTGTGAGCCACAGAGCTGGGCTGGATTCCATCTCTTAAAAAAAAAAAAAAGTCTTAGGTAATCAAGGAAAATTGAATATGGACTGTATAGTATACATTATTATACCAATGGTAAAGACCTCGGTGTGGTAACAGTATTATGACTACATAGGAGAATATGTTAATTCTTAAGATAAGCAAGCTGAAGGGGTAAAATGTCACTTTTGAAAGGTTCAGCCCCATCCCACTGCCCAAAAAAGTATATATACGATATATACTGTGGCTACATGTTAATAACTGGTAAAAGGTATGGGGTGTTTATTATATTGTATTGTTTCAACATCCAATAGGCTTCAAATTTTATAAAATAAAAAGACTAGACCCAAATAACAACCAAAACTCCAAAGTACACGTAACATTAAATCTATGTTCTTCACTCAGCTGGGGCCTGCCCAGCGCCAGCCACTGTCAGTGAAGGAACAGGATCCTCCTCATCTCACCAATTTCTCTTCCACCATCTTCCTGAGTTTTCTGAGCCCACCAGGATCAAGGTCAGGAAAGGGAGGAGAGGTCAGGCATACAAGACAGTTCTTGATTGCTATCTGCAGCAAAATGATCTAGGGCTACGGCAGAGGGGATATGGCAGAGTGTTTAACACTAATTTTTCCTCTCTTGGGGAGCTTATGTGCACTCTTCCAATGGTATACTCTTCCAATTGCAAATATCCTGCCAGAGACACTGCTTTCTCTCTGCTAAAAGCTCTTAATGCCTCCTTAGCTTCTGACCCCTGGTGGTACACAAACAGCCCATTACTGCTGGGATCTTCTTGCCCTGGCAGGAGACTTTTTCTTCGGCAGGATCCCTTTAAAAATGACAGGTTGATTTCCCTGTTGACAGAGAAGAGTGCAATTACTTCTCAAACCCACTGCTACTGCTATAGAACACTTCAGCTTTCCCAGGTGGAGTCAAGCACCAATATCTTGTGACCCTAAGATATACTTTAGTTGAAACTTCTCTCACTAGACTTGACAAAAGATTCAGAGACCCCTAACTTGTGGGAGACAAGGGTAAGACATACAGCACTGATGACCTGCAGAAAAATTCGTCTAACAAAATCTTACCCCCAGCCCCCCGCTTTGATAGCGTCTATGTGAGTAAAGGGATTCAAATGTCACAAAACCAGCTTTCTATAATTCTGCATACAGTCTAGCACTTCCTTTGGATATAGACACATGTGTTGAATACTGGTGCCTCAATTCAAAGTTCCAGTTTATCATCCTAGGAACTCTATTAATGGTGTATTCTCTACATACATCTTGGAAAGCTGTTGTGAAGGCTAAAAGCTTCTCACGTGTAAAACTTACAGAACAGCACTTGGGCTCACAGTAAGCCCTTACTTAATGCTAGCTACTACTATAATATAGAGTTCTCTTTTCAAATTTTTTAAAAATTTCAAAAACAAGTGTTGGTAAGAATGTAGAGAAACTGAAATCCATGTACACTGCTGGTGGGAAAACAAAATGGTACAGCCACTACGGAAAACAGTACACCAGTTCTTCCAAAAATAAAAATATGATCCTGCAATTCCACTTCTGGGTATACATCTCAAAAGAAATGAACTCAGGGACTTGAACAGATTATTTGTACACCTACATTCATAGTAGCATTGTTCGCAACAGCCAAAAAGTAGAAGAGTCCATCAATGGACAAATGGAGAAATAAAATGTGGTATATGTATATACAATGTAGTATTATTCACCCTTAAAAAGGAAAACCATTCTGACATATGCTACAACATGAATGAACCTTGAAGATATTATACTAAGTAAAATAAGCTAGTCGATCAAAACACGGCAAATGCTGTATGATTCTACTTGTATGAGGTACCTAGAGTAGTCTCATTCATAAAGACAGAAAGTCTGCCAGGGACTGCCAGGTTGCCTGGGGAGTGAGTACCCACTGCCTAATGGGTACAGTTTCAGTTGAGGAACATGAAAAGCTTTGGATAAAGATGGTAGAGATGGCTGCACAACAATGGGAATGTACTTAATGCCACTGACCTGTACACTTAAAATTGGTTAAAATAGTAAATTTTATGTTAGGTCCATTTTACCACAGTAAAAACTATTTTTTAATTGTCTATAATTAAATGGTCAAATGATACACAAATTGCACGAAATAAATATAAATGAACAAGTGGGGAAAAATGCTAATGCAAACCACTAACCTATATCCAGTAATCTCACTCCTAAATACATAGCCCAAAGAACTTACACATAAAACAAGTATTAAAATTGTGTGCAGATGTTTATCACAGCATTATGTCTAAGTGGTTTTAGAGGCAATCCATACATCCATTACCTGGATAACTTACAAAGGAACCAAACTATGTTTAAAAGTATTTCGCTAGAGATATACACCATAACATGTCTAAATTAAAAAGTGTCAAAAGTGAAAAAGAAAGCTTGAAGTTTGAATTTAAGATATACATAATATACAAACTGTTCTATATTTTTCAAAGACATGTGCCAATCCAAGGTAATATGCCAAATACATGCAAGTCAAGGTCTACTGAGGGAGACTGGGATAGGGGTGCAAAACAGGGGTAGGGATAGGGGATAAAGGAAAAAATAACTCAAAACAAGAAAACGGTCTTGTCCAGCCTATTGATGAGTATATGTTATCAGCTAAGGAGGATAAGTAATGCAAATCTGTGAACCAGAAGCCCCCAAAATTTTTAGCATTAACTATATTTCCTTTCCCAAATATCTGCAAATGTTTACTCTGAGGCACTTTTAATCATAAGCATTTAGTCTGACCATCTGTTTACTAAAGGCTAGCACATTGAAAAAAATAAAGAAAATGGTTTTTTTTTTCTAGCCAATAGCAATGTCAATGTTTTAATCTTTATAAAAAAAATCTGATTAAGACCAAAATCCTTCCAATAAACCATTTTTTACATTTCTATTACCATTACACAAAATACCACAGCTATGCACCTAGTAAAAAAATATGTACCTTTTTTCTTTTGTCTTAGTTTAGTGTTTGCTTGGGTTTTTTTTGTTGTTGTTTTTTTGTTGTTTTTTTTTTTTGAGACGGAGTCTCGCTCCGTCACCCAGACTGGAGTGCAGTAGCATGATCTCTGCTCACCGCAACCTCCGCATCCCAGATGCAAGTGATTCTCCTGCCTCAGCCTCTGGAGTAGCTGGGACTACAGACGCGCAGCACCACGCCAAGCTAATTTTTGTATTTTTAGTAGAGATGGAGTTTCGCCTAGTTGGCCAGGCTGGTCTCAAACTCCTGACCTCAAGTGATCCACCCTCCTCGGCTTCCCAGAGTGCTGGGATTGCAGGCATGAGCCACCGTGCCAGACCTTGTATCTTCAAGAAAATTAACAAACTATTAATTTCCATGCTGGTAATTATTTCCTAAATAGCATTTCCAAAGATGCAAATATCACAACCTGAATTCACAGAAGAAACTGAATCATCCATCTTATTAAACACGGGATCAGGTACAAAATATAGCCATAAGAGGCTGTTTTTTTTGTTTTGTTTTGTTGTGTTTTGTTTTTTGAGACGGAGTCTCGCTCTGTCGCCCAGGCTGGAGTGCAGTGGCTGGATCTCAGCTCACTGCAAGCTCCGCCTCCCGGGTTTACGCCATTCCCCTGCCTCAGCCTCCTGAGTAGCTGGGACTACAGGCACCCACCACCTCGCCCGGCTAGTTTTTTGTATTTTTTTTTAGTAGAGACGGGGTTTCACCAGGTTAGCCAGGATGGTCTCGATCTTCTGACCTTGTGATCCGCCCGTCTCGGCCTCCCAAAGTGCTGGGATTACAAGCTTGAGCCACCGCACCCGGCCAAGAGGTTGTTTTTAGAAGCACATCCACTACCAATGCCCACATGCTTTCTGGAGGAAACGCAAGTATTAAACGGCAGGTTCCTCAAACAGTGGCCCCAAAGCACTAATCAAGACCTCTGAAGGCCACTGCCACTCCTCCAGGAAGCACGTCTTTTTTATCTTTTCAGTGCCAGCACGGGCACATCATGGGTCCTCAAGAAGTACTTTTTGAAGGGATGACCTCAGTGAATGGCAGTAGGTATAAATAAGTGGAAGAGTGTATAAAATTAAGCAATGACAACTTTCATTATCTGAAGGACTATCTGAAAATAGACTGCTCAGTCAGTGAAAGCTGTGCTAGGCAAAGCACATTTGGCCCTCCCTGATTTATACACCTAGATATAAGCCTCTGAGAACCTTAAAGGGCCACCACACATCCAAGTGCTCCTCCTCTACCTACAATGGCACTCATCTCCACACTTAGGGCATACAGAAAATATCAGTCTACCATAGTCATTGAGGGTTTACTTGTTTTCACCCCATGCCACCACAAATATTGCTTTTCCTCAATTTTATAAATATATAATTATATACATATATAAAAATATATACACACATGTATGTCTGTTGACTAAAAGATATTAAGCTAAAAGAGTCATAAAATAAGTAAAAAGAAAGATATGATCACACTGGAGAACGAGAGGGGTAACCAACTCAGATTGCCTGTAGCAATCTCCCTGTCTTTACTGAACACTACACAGATGAAATGAAGGGACCCTATATTTCTATCTGTTCCCTAACTTAGAATTACAGCCATACAGAAAGGTGTCTCTTAGGAAAGCATGATACTTAGACAGTACACTCATATCATAAACTTATTACCTCAACAAGTCACACTGAAGATCAGGATACACCCGCCAAATTTATCTATAGTTTCTATTTTAAAGGCTGTTTCAGCCAATATTCAGTATGTATTCACAGAACATCAACTATGTGCCCACTTCTAGGCCAGTCAGAACACTGGCCTATGGCAGAATCAAAGATGAGTATAGCATTCAATGAGCTTACAAAGTAGTAAGGAGTTTTTGACAAATATTCAAGAACTATAACCTAGCAAGAAAACTAGTAACTGTAACTAGTAACTAGATCCTAGTAAGAAAAGCACCACAATGCCGGGCACGGTGGCTCAGGCCTGTAATCCTAGCACTTTGAGAGGCCAAGGCGGGTGCAGAATTTGAGGTCAGGAGTTTGAGACCAGCCTGGCCAACATGGTGAAACCCTGTCTGTACTAAAAATACAAAAATTAGCCAGGCATGATTGTGCACACTTGTAATCCCAGCTACTTGGGAGGCTGGGGAAGGACAATCGCTTGAATCCCGGAGGTGGAGGTTGCAGTGAGCAGAGATCGCACCATTGCATTCCAGCCTGGGTGACAGAACGAGACTCGTCTCCCAAAAAAAAAAAAGAAAGAGAAAAAAAAGAAAAGAAAAGCACCATAATAAACACATGAGAGACTCTGAAGAATGGTGAGGCTTTTCACAAAGAGCACTGAAGATAGGCTTTCAACAAAGGAAACAGTATTACCAAAGAAACAGAGGCTAGTAAAGTAGTGCTGGCCAAGATGGTGAACTACTATGCTAAGTATAAAAAAGTAGAATATGCAGACACAAGACTTACTGGACAGGCCCGTAAGTACCAAGGTTAAATATTAAAACCTCCTTTTGTGAATAACGAAGATGATTTCTTTAAAAAAAGGTTGTTTCAGGGATAAGGGAGTCACTGAAAACTGAAATTGACCTCAATATGGACAAAATACTGGAGGAGGAAAAGATAAATTAGCAAAATTACGAGAGAAGCATTTTCAAAAGTCTAAAGCACGTTAAGTCTACATCATAAAATAATTTAAAAAGAAGAGACATCATCAAGAAAAGGGTGGAAAATGTTCAATCATTTTTTGTGATGGGATATGTATAAATAAAACACTTTTTAAGATATATGCAAAAACTTTTAATTTTTTCTTAAGTTTCAATACTAAGAAGGGAGTAACAGGGCATTTCCAATATTGACTTTGATTAGCCAACACCAGGCTTGCCCACTTCCTACCATAATCAACCAGAAAATTTGATAAATATATAAAACAATCATTTTCAGACAGTGGACAATAATGGCAGCAATGAACTACGATCCCTAAAAGAAAGGGAAACCCTATGATTGCACCAGTTTTCTGCCTGGAGGCATTCTGCATCATGGTGGGAGATACTAATTACATGGTGGTTCAGTTGAGTTGAGGGAACAGATATCAGAGTTTTAGGAAGCCTAAGGTTGCTTAAATTTGTAAGTGTACAGTACATAAGCAATAGGAGCTAAGAAGAGGAAAAGCACCACATGTCTGCACAGGGGTTCCATGTGTACTCTTCTGATGAAGATTCTAAGATTCCATGAGACTAGTAAAAGAACAAATATGAGAGAACAATAACCTAAACACTTCCAAAAGGTCACAGAAGCCTAGAAGACAGGCAGATTTGGAATAAAAGGGTAGAGGGACTTCGTTGACCATGCACAGCATTCAGCAGAGGATACAGAAGAATCACACCAAATTTACCTCTGTAGTAAAGGATACTCAAAATAACCCTAACAAACAAAAACTAGCCCCAAGAAGATCAAGCTGATTCACAAAGAATGTAAATTACAAAGAATGTAAAACTGGAACTTTTTTAAAAGACAATAAAATCAAGACATTCAATAATGCAATATTTACAATCCCCATCAACAAACCAAATATTACCAGACATACAAAGCAGAAAAATGTGGCTCCTAAGACAAAAATCAGTCAATAAAAAATAGATCCAGAAATAACAGATATGATGGAACAAGCATACCAAGATAGCAAGTACACTAAACAATAAATATACTAAAACAGTACTTGACAATGTATTTAAG